TTTTTTTTGAAGTCGGTTAAAAGCGTTTGAGTTCTGTTAATCTTATGTAAATAAAGTGCAGTTTATGAATTTTAAAACGTTTATTTATTTATTACATACTGTACATAAAACTTGCATAAATGTATTTTAAAGAGGGTATTATCTGAAGCAAATTTTCAGTATTTTCCGGTGATATATCTTCAGAAATATAACCCCCCTCCCCCCCCCTTTAAAATATATTCTTGGGTGCGCCCCTGTACATACGTATTCCCCCTCATAAATTTTCAGACTAAGACACTGTCTCGTACAAATTGCCATTAAAACGTAACCGCCGAATTGGCAACTTTGTAAAGCAGCAATCGCCATGCAAACTAAGGCAGTTGTCGAGCGTAAAGCTGAGCTGAGTTGAGGAGCAACGCAAATGTAATTTTAAGCTTGACAAATTGCAATAAAGCATGCAGTAATGCATTGGGCGAAAAATAGCAAAAAACATTTACATGCATAGCATTGGAAAAGAGTGCATAAGAAACGGTATAATAAAATGCAAACCGACACAAACTTTTGTAAAACAAAAAGAGTGATTCCTTCGCACACACACACACACACACACACACACACCCCATATGACGTGGAAAATGTGTGTGGAAGCCCTTAGTCAAATTAGGGTAGAGCATCAGCAACACGCTCGTAAAACCTAGATAGAACAGCACCAAAAACGAGCCAGCTGTTGCAAGTAATAAAACTGCAAATCCAGTGCATTGAGGAATTTCACGAAAACTTCTCGATATGAGCTTGTGTGTGTGTGTGTGTGTGTAGCTGCACAAAACTATCTCATGCGCATTCATGGCACCAGTGTTGCCAGAAAAAATTTCGTTTGGAGCCAAATCGGGCGAAAAAGAAAAACTTAAAAGAGCTAAATAATGCTAATAGTAGCTAAAATGAAGAGCTATTTTTTTTTTAAGTTGAGCATTCGTTGACATAAAGTTGCTTTTACATTTTATATTAAACTAGATTTAAGAGTTCATAGTGGAGTCTGCATTTTCCCGTGAATACAAATGTATGTTTTTCCACTGCCTTTCGAAATTTGTAAGTCTATCAACGCTTAAGTTTTGGCTTTCCTCTTCCACCATGGCCGCCTGAGAGAAAATACACCGTCTGAGCTTATCGGAGCTCGAATTACTGCCCTGTATGGTTTGTGTACTCCCGCGCACGTGATAGAAACTAAATGACCTGCTTGCCCATTTTTAATTAGCTTAAGCGCCATTTGCATTAGGAATGCAACTTTTTTAAGTATTAATCGAAATAGAATAACATAAAGGTATCGAAAATAGCCTGAGATCACCAAAGCCAAAGGAATTTTATTCAACACTTGTACAATGAAATTACAGATTTTTATACCTTTCATGAGCATGAAATGGTATTATAACTTTGGTCCGATGTTTGTAAGTACCAGAACAAAAAGAGATAGACCCATTAAAATGCATACTTATATGATCAGAACGTCGAGCTGAGTTGATTTAACCATGTCCGTCTGTCCGTCTGTCCGTCTGTTTGTATGCAATCTAGTCTCTCAGTTTTCGAGATATCCTGATCAAATTTGGTACGTGGGTGTATTTTTATAATGTATTAATCATTTGTCGGAACCGGAAGAATCGGACCACTATAACGTATAGCTCCCATACAACTGATTGTTCAGATATGAGATTTTTCGTTCTAATTTCTCCATTTATGCAGCTACGAACATGAAATTTTGCAGCACTTGCACCCATTATAAACAGAATGCTTACAGTGAAAATTACAAAGATCGGTTCACTATAACCTATAGCTCCCATACAACTGATTGTTCAGATATAAAATTTTTCGTTATAACTCCTCCATTTATATAGCTGGGAACAGGAAATTCCGCACTGTTTTCAATAATTATCAACAGAAAACTTACAGTGAAAATTAAAAAGATCGGATAACTATAACCTATAGCTCCCAAACAGCTGATTGTTCAGATATGAGATTTTTCGTTATAATTCATCCATTTATGTAGCAAGGACCATGAAATTTCGCACCATTTTCACTCATTATTAACAGAATACTTACAGTGAAAATAACTAGGATCGGGTGACTACAACATATATCTTCCATACATCTGATTGTTCAGATATGGGATTTTACTGTAAAACCCCTTTATTTGAACAGCTAAAACCGATAAATTTCGTAAGATATTTTATAAATAATAATACTAAGTCTACTTAGAAAATCGTCAAAATCTATGCTGTATCTGTATGCTTTATCACCTATAGCACTGATTGTTCAGATACCAGTTTTTGCGATATATCTCCTTTATGTAGGAAACTAAACCCAATAAATTGTGTTACCGGTTTACATACCGATCTCATAGCAGTGAAAATCACTTCGATTGGTGCCATATAAAGTATATCTTCCATACCTCTGATTGTTTAGATGCGATTTTTTATATAAGTATGTAACTCCTCTATCGATGTATGCAGATGTATTCAAAATCAGTAATCTGTCAAACAAAAATTTGCAGACGTTCATGAAAGTTATGAAGCCTTCGGCATAGCCGAAGACAGCGCTGCTCTTACTTGTTAATTTTAATATATTGCCAAATACAACTAAAACTTTCTGGAGCTAAGAAAGTGCTAAATAATTTTTTTTAAAGAGCTATGAGATTAATCCCAATTTTCGGAGCTGAATAGAAAACTAAAGAGCTAAATCTAGCTCCAAAAGCACCAAAATGGCACACATGTGTATGCTATATATGACTGCAATGCCACAAAGGTAGTAAAAGAAGCGTAGCGCAGGGCAAGCGGAGCGTATTGGAGAGCGAAAGCACAGGGAGTAAAAAAAAGGATAAAAAATAAAAGCTCAAAAAAGCGTATATTTCATGCCAACCAGGGAAACCATCTCGTGGGGAATTCCCCGATTTGCGAGGAATTTGAGTTTGCATGGGGAATGGGCCGTTTTTTGTGGGGAATTTCAGTTTACGTGCACAATCGAGAGACTGACTGCTTTTTGTGAGGAATTAGGTGTTAACTAGTTTATTCTTTCTGGCTTCACCGATTTTATAATGAGGTAAAAAATGCAACTGCAACTAAAGTACTGATTATGCAATCCTGCAAATTATACAAATAACCGTTGATTTAGAATTTTTCTTGTCGGATTTGTGTTAACATAACGAATAAACACACTTTTTTATGTGGATGAAAACCGAAACACCTTAAAAAAAAAAAAGTTTAAAACAAAAATTTTTAGCCACTTTAGACTTGCATTAATAGAATTGAGTGGGCTACAAAACTGCATACTCAAAATCTTTCTAGAAAATCGAATTAAAATTACACAATGCCTGTTAATGAATTAACTATATTTTTATAAAAAAAAATGTAAATCAAATTAATAACAAAAAAAGATAATTGTGAAAACTTGTCAAAATTTGGCGCGACTAAAATTTTTTCGACCACTATATGTGTGTAAGCATTATATGTAATTTTTTTTTCTTTATTTGTTAACTAACTTTATAAAAGTTTGGTTTAATCTCTGAATACATACATAGCTGAATGGGTGGGGAATTTTACGAAATTTCTGGCAAAATCGGGGAATTTCATCGTCGAAATCGGGGAATGCTCAAAAATGAGTGGCAATGTGTCGTTGTTTTTTGCAATAAACCAACCAGTGTGCTAGTGTTAGCTAGTTGCTTATGTACAAATGTGCAAAAGCAATGCAGCAATAAATGTGAAAACTATACTGCATTAAGGTGGAGCGAAAAAAATCTATTTTTCGATTTTTAACTTCTATTAGTACGGAAAAGTTGCGTAATATGATCATACTGAACCGTTTGAAATCATTTTCTGATCGGATAATATTCACGGTCGCCACAAGAGCCTTGTTGTTTAGAAAAATCTCCCAAATTGTGGTTGTTTTATATCTTTTTTTAATGATTCCTTGAAACATTTTGGTTGTGCAGTTCTGTAGCTCATTACACTTAAGTATAATAAAATGCCAGTTTCAAGTTGCTAAAAAATCCATTCAATGTGATCACGTTACGCAACTTTTCCGTACTATTCGAATTTTGAAAACGTAAAATTCATTTTTTTTTTTCGCTCCACCCTAATCTATGCGCATACATACATACACACATTCCAAAGCAGCAGTGATGCGTTTTTGTGGAGAGGCAAATGGCTTAGTTGTGGTTGTTATTTTTTTGTATCAGTGGAAAATTCAAATAGTTATGAGGATAGAATGTAGAACTACATCATTCGGTTTCCTTTTTCCTTTTTGCATTCCAAAATACTAATAATAAAAGTTCAAAGAATATTTTGGCATGGTAAATCAGCGCAAAAGAATTTGTGCGCAACAATATTCAAGTGCTTCCAGAACATATGTATGTAACTATATGTATACATAAATACATGCATATGCACTCAGCAGGCGACGGCACACAGTGAGACAACGCCGGCATTAAATACAAGGAGTCATTGTAGAGCTCTGAAATTTTGCACAGGTTATTTTTGAGACAATTCCAGTTTTTAAAAAAAAAATTAAGAAAATTCGCCCACTTTTACGCCCACCTGCCATACAGTCGAAATTTGTAAAATGCCGTATTGTCCGTAATACTTTAGGTATAACTTTCAATTTTCGTATACTTGAATGTTATATAGTTACAAACATTATTTGAAATAAAAATTGAACTTTGGCCCACTTTTAACCCCATCACCCATACTACCTCAACATAAAAAGTGCCATATTTTCTAAAATATATTAAATACAACCTTCAAATTCGATATTACTGTAATTTATATCATTTAAAATGTTTCATGCAAAAATTACAATAACACGCCCACTAATACGCCCACCTCCCATTGAAATGCAATAAAAAAAAAAACAATATTTTTTTTTCATTCAATCAATAATTTTTTAACATCATCATGGTATTCTAATTTTTTTAATTTGTTTCTCATTCTAAATGAATTAATATAAGGATCTGATGATATTTGCAAATAGGGCATTACATCTTCATTCGTAGAAATACGTGAATTTTTACGAGAATGGAATAGCCTACAGTTTCTATACTCCTTATTCATTGCTTCTTGCGCTTCTTCGGATAACATTCCTGTAGCAAAAAAAAAAGTTAATATTAAATAAAGTTTAAAAAAATACTTTCAAAAATAAAAATTGCAAACAAACCTATTGGCAATATAGCCTCAGATACCATTTTGCTGCCGTGAATGAGAACTTTATGCACAGTGATGGGCATGTAGTACCAGCCATAAAGCTCTACATATAATTTTGCAGTGTCCATGCAATACGTATGGAATTTACCAACATCTATATTTTTACTACTATTTATAGTATTTAATATAATTTTAAAGCGGTGAATTAAGTCTACATTTACACCAGTTATGTCAGCGGTTATTTCTGGATGTTCAAAAAATCTTCTTCTGGTTGTTCCCATGCCTTGTTTCACCACATCGACTTTTAAGCCCAGAACTAATTTGAAATTTTTTTTCATTTCTGTTTTAACAGCTTCTTTCTGTTCTTTTGTATCTTTATTTGTCCTCCACGCTTTGAAACTTTTATTATAACCGAGATGTAATATACATTCCATGAATTTTATTCGAGCATGTAGCGGCGAAATTCCAAATTTCAATGCTTCAGCTGAATTTGTTCTCAAAATAACTGCATCCAAATTATTCATTTCAGTAGGTTTTGCTCCACATATGAAACAAACAGCCATCGAGCAATTCTTACTGACTGTTGTTGCCACTTTTCCGTCAATCATCGTCATAGTTAAACTATGAGATATCGCAAACTTTTTGTTGAACATTTCGAATTCTGTCGTTTTTAAATTTTGAATTTCTGCATTTACACGATTTACTTCATTGTTAATAACATCTGCTGCTAATATCTTGCACTATCAATTTAAATTAAAAATTATGCAACTATCTAACCCAAAGTCAATGACCTTCAACAAAATTATCTATCAAATTAATAACGTAAATAAAATTTATGTAAACAAGAATATTTTTATTAAAACATAAATGATCTTTAAAGCATAATTCTGAATAACTAACAAAAAACAAATGTAATTTATTACTATTCTCTTGCACAATAAGTGAATAGTAAACAATTAAAAAAAATAAAAGTAAAAAGTTGTAAACATGCTATTGCATGCTAACATACGTATAGCGACAGAATGTGCGCGTTACGTACTTTTTGTAGTTTTTTGTATGTTTAATGTGCTTTTGCAAACTTTTGCTATATGTCCTCTACTTTAAATTAAAGCTGAGACTTCAAACTTTCATTTGGTATAAGTCTGCACCTAGGGCGAGGGGCTGCTCTATATTTCCTAGGCCATTGAAAATGCAAAATGTTCAATTTTTGCACCACAATTCTGTTGTTAAGAAAAAAAATTTTGTTTTTTTTTAAATTTATTTTTTCATTTACTCATTCTACAATAACTAAATTAATTAAAAAAATACTTTAAAGTTACATTTATTATGTATTTTTATTTTAATAAGCTTTTGATTATTACATATTGAACTAAAATATTTCAAGCGCGTTGGCATACCTCAACTTTGACTTGCTCTAGACCAAAAAGTAATGAAGTTATGAGGCTGAAATTTCAGGGAATTGTTACTCATATATCTGTTAATATACTGTGAAACCATAGACCAGGTATTCACAATACGCCAAATCTTGGAAAAGACCCGCGAGAAAAGGATCGACACTCACCACCTATTTGTCGACTTTAAAGCCACTTTTGACAGCACTAAAAGGAGTTGCTATGTCTGAATTTGGCCGCTATGTCCCCTCAAAACTATACGTTGCGCAATACCACCAGCTCCGGCA